TTTTTGGGGAGGAGGGGTCTGAAACCCTGTGGTTTTGGGGGGGAGCATTGAAATCCTATTTTTTTGGGGGGGAGGAAGCCCCAAAATCCCACAGTTTTTGGGCTGGGGAGCCTTGAAATCCCATGAGGGTTTATTTTGGTGGGGGAAAGCCCTGAAATCCTGCTTTTTTGGGGAGGAAAGCCCTGAAATCCTGTCGTTTTTTGGCAGGGAGTGGTCTGAAACCCTGTGGTTTTTGGGAGGAGCCTTGAAATCCCAGGGTTTTTGGGGGGGCGGAAGTCCTGAAATCCTGCATTTTTGGGGTGGGAAAGCCCTGAAACCCTGTGGTTTTGGGGCGGAGAGGGTCCTCAAACCCTGTGGTTTTGGGGAGGCAGCCCCCAAATCCTATGTTTTTTGTGGGGGACGACACAAAATTCCCTTGGGTTTATGGCCTGAAGTTGCCCCTTTTGGAGACTGAAATCCCAGGGTTTCTGGGTGGGGAGGGGCCTGAAATTCTGCTTTTTTTGGGGGGGGACGCCCTAAAACCCTGTGGTTTTTGGGCGGAGAGGGTCCTCAAACCCTGTGGTTTTTGGGAGGCAGCCCCAAACTCCTGTATTTTTTGGGGCGGGACGACACAAAATTCCCCTGGGTTTACGGCCTGCAATTACACCTTTTAGAGACCGAAATCTCAGGATTTTGGGATGGCCCAAAATCCCACATTTTGGCGGGCTGGCGTTTTCCCTTCCGGGGGTCACCTTAGCATGGTTTTGGGGTTCAAATTCTGTTTTTTGGGGGGGGCGACACAAAATTCCCTTGGGTTTAGAGCCCCAAATTGTACTTTTTGGAGACTGAAATCCCAGGGTTTTTGGGTGGGGAGGGGCCTGAAACCCTGTGGTTTTTGGGAGTGACCCCCCAAATCCTGTATTTTTTGGGGGGGACGACACAAAACTCCCTTGAGTTTATGGCCTGAAATTTCACCTTTTGGAGACCGAAATCCCAGGGTTTTGGGACGGCCCAAAATTTTACATTTTGGCGGGCTGGCGTTTTCCCTTCTGGGGGTCACCGTACCGTGTTTTTGGGGCTAAAATTCCGCTTTTTTGGGCGGGAATTGACCGATTTTGTGGTTTTTTCCCCTCGGTAGCCAACAGCTACGGTCAGGAGCCGTCGTCCATGAGCGGGGGCGGCGGGGGCTACCAGGAGCAGAGCGGTGGCTACGGCGGGGGCCAGCAGGAGCGCAGCCGCGGCCGGGGGGGCTACGGACGAGGTGGCTACGACCGGGGGGGCCGCGGAAGCCGGGGCGGCCGCGGAGGCAACATGGGGTAGGTGCCAGCGGGGGGGGACGGCCCTTTTGGGTGGAAAAAACGGGGTTTTTTTATTTATTTCTGGGGACACCCCCACAACCGGGGGGGGAAAAGCGGGGTGGGGGGTGGTGAGATGCCTCACTGAGGCGGGTTTTAACCAAAATCGGCGCAATTAAGAGGCGCTCGGAGGTGCCTGAAGTGGTAAGAGACACACACCCCCAATTCTGGGGGGGAAAAGGTGTTTTTGGGGAAAAATAAGATAAAACCACTCAGCTGAACCTGGTTGTCAAAGGTCACTTGTAGCCTCTGGTGCCGGCTCTGGTCACGGTTGGGGGCGTCCGCCCCGGGGTTTTTAACGCAAAAAATAAGGAAAATGGTTGGTTTTTGAGGTCACTGCAGAAAAAAATAATAATATAACGTTGATATATTGGGGAAAAAAAAAAATATATATAAGAAAACCCGCCGGTTTTGGGTTATTTGGGAAAGGTTCTGAAGTGTCTTTGTGGTGTCCCGGTTGCACGAAGGGAGGAAACGCCCCCAAAAAACCAGAGAGAAAAAAAGTAAAAAATGGTGGTTTTAAAAGGAAAAAAAAAAAA